CTAGTCCTGGCAAACAGCCAATCGTTGCGCGTGACGCAAACGATATTTTTATATAAATAAATAAATAAATATGCCGTTTTCAAAATAAATTTATGCAAACCGACACACCTGATGATGACCGTTTGAGTTATGGTCGAAACGTCGTGAGAATTTTTTATTGTTTTATATATATTTTGTTATTTTGTTGTTTCTCTTCAACGTGACTTTACCGAAAAAACTAAGAATATACATTTTTTACTGTTTGGCAGTGTCGGGTGGTGATTTACGACACATTTATAAAATAACGCGATGTAACCCAAAAAAATATTTATGACTAATATTGGTCGCGAAAGCCTCTGTGTTAAACTGACCATGTACTGTGTTAGCTACTGGAAGTCAAAGGCGGTTGGCGAGGTTCTGATCCTGTGGAATACATGTTATCTTATTCTTGGTTCTTTCGGTAAAGTCACGTAGAAGGGAAACAATAAAATAACCTGATGGTTCAATGAGCCACTCTGTCTACAGGAAAGCTACCCATACGGATGCTTACCTGAAACCGGATTCCCACCACCATCCATCCCAGAAGAATTCCCTCATCAAGACTCTGCACCATGTGGTTTTCACACATGATGATGATTGCTTGTGTTGCAGTCAAAACGTTGTGATAATTTTGTTTTATATTTGTATTATTCTATTGTTTCCCTTCTACGTGGTGACTTTACCAAAAGAACCAAGAATATGAATCCCTGCAGTCACGAAAGCTTTAAATCAAAACATTATCTTGGTCGTGTGTGATTGATATATTTCACATTGTATCTCTTCTGAATGACCCTAGGTCGAAAACTTTCATAATGACTTGGTTCATGCTTAACCAAGATTTGTGGTATACCATAGTTGTTACCAAGGATAATACGAGGGTTCTATTAATATTTGTTCCCAGTCTGTATTGACAGAGATCTGTGCTTCTTATTCTCAAGTCATATTTGATATCCTGAGGTTGAAGATATAGCTAAGCTTCAAACCTTACTGTTGTATTTCAAAAACCCCAGTTAGCTCAATAATGATTAAATGCCCTTTGTGGTATATGCCGGGTATTGGAAATTTAATGAAAATAATAAAAAAGATGATTTTTAAAATGTCATTATGCACATAAATTATGCTAATTAGAGATATAATCGTATTGATTTATGTGAATATGTGCGATTATGCTAATGCAAGCCGTTACGATAATTAGGCCCTGCCTCATTGTCGAGGGTAGTATTACCAATCGGGATAATACAATTAATGTATGAAGTTATGCAGGTGTGCTGTAAGTATGCTAGATTAAGCTCGGTTTCGTTGTCTAGGTTCGTATTATCACTCGGTATAATACAATTATTCTCGCTTTAAAATTTACTGATTATGTATTAGTGTGTTTATGTCAGGTCTCCATATTAAAATCTCACCACAAGATACAGTTCTTATAATTAAGGTTATTACGCATGAACTTAGGAAAGAAACACTCAAACACTTCTGTGTTAAGCAATTTTAATTTCTAAACAAAAACATAATACTCTAATATGCGAACTCTTATGCTTGGAATTGTCAACACAGTACTGGAAATGTTCTCCTCATCGATCCATACATTTAATCCTCAATGATCACGTTGTTAAATTGGGTAACAGAATAATTGATTAATTCCTTAGGGTAACGCGAGCATATACGGTGACAGGAAAAAGTCCTTAAAATTCATGCAACGACGTTCATACGAAGGGCAATAAAGAAACATGTCCCGAAGGCAAAAGTATACGGCAATGAATTCATTGGGAAGATTATGCAGTTACGAAATGTCTTGGGACAATGGTGTGCGACAGTATGCCTGCTTCAGCAAATGCTTATCAATTGGCTGAGGCTTCAATTAATTCGCGGGCAAGATTCTGTGATCAAAATAACGATTTCAACACAATATTCTCCCTGTGAGTGTGTAGATTCGTAACGTAGGTTTCTAAACGTTTAGTTTCATAAATGAATTCATTGGTAATAGTTATGCAATTAAAAAGAGGAAAAATAACGACTAAAATACTTCTAAATGACTGTATCCACGTAACTTAATGGGCCGCAATGTTCTTCGTTATCAGCTAATAGTTCACACTTATCATGAGTCTTCTTGTATGTGTTAATGTGTGAGTGTTGTTGATCTTCTTGCATTAAGCAAACGCCGAGGTTGGGCATCCCTTGTATCAAAAATGTGTTTGTCTCCTGCGGAGAGGTGAGGGTGTGAGGGTGGGCGTGTCTTACAATCGGTGGGCGTGTCTTACAAACGGTGGGTGTCTTACAATGGTGGGCGTGTCTTACAACGGTGGGCGTGTCTTACAACGTCCTCGTTGCTTTTTCTTGCTCGGGGCGTCGGCTTAGCTGCCCGTCTGCTGGCAGATACAGGCTCTTTCTACTGCTGGAGGAGTTGCGTCGGCACGTTGCTTGTCCTTGAAGATGCTCGATCGCGCTTGCCGCTGATCCGATGACAGCAGCAGGCTCCTTCCACTGCTGGAGGAGCTGCATTGCAAGCGCTCCTTACTGCCCGTGCTCTTTGTCGATGCCCGATTGCGCATGCAGTTCGTTCGCTGGTGGCAGACACCCTTGCTCGTTATTCTATTGCTCGGCTGTAGCTCCTGGTGGGAGCAGGCACTCAGGATAGAATGACTTTGAGCGATACTTCTTCTGTCAGCTCTAAACTCGTGTTCGGTGAAACATCGCTACTCGGCAAGTCTCTCCATTCCTGGTTGATTGCAGAGTCTCACCCCGGAGCTTGCCGCTCGCCGCCCTCTTCTGTCGCTCGCTGAGCTGTCTCTTGCTGAGCTGTCCCTTGTCGAGCTCCCCATGTCGAGCTGAACTGTGTGTGTCGTGTTGCTGTTTTTACCCGAAAAATCTCCCCTCTGCGCGTCTCTTGCGAGAGAAAAAAACAGATGCTTACTCCGTCATGCTCTCCCCCCGCGGCCGCGCCCGATTGCCCCCCTCCCCTCTTCCCTTGGTGACCCCGGGCTGCTTTACATCAAATGGATGTTTGTTTGCCCTCCCAACCCCTCTCTTCGCGGTGTCCGCTAAGGGAGGGGACGCACCTTTCATACGTTGTATGGCTACCATGTGTTTGTGTCAAATTGTTGGAAGACAAAGGCAGCCAGGGAGGCTCTGATTTAATGGAATACATTTATCTGGTCTTTGTGTTTGACCTATTTCTTGTACCTCTAATGAATTAGCCTAGGTCTAATCTCTTGTGATTATTATTTGGTTTGTGTTTAACCAAGATTTATAATGTACCATTAGATGTTACCTCCAGTATTTCAAGGGTTTTATTAACTTTTGCTCCCTGTCTGCATCCAGGGATCCGTGTTTTTTTTATTCTCGAGGTCAGAGATATCCCGAGGCTGGCGATATAACCAAGCCCTCACTTTCTTGACTGCTAGAATTCACATTCCTTGGTTCTCTTGGTGAAATTAGATAGAAATATACAATAAGAAACAATGTGAGTTGAATAAGGGTGAAATAAAAAAAAGTAATAATAAAGCCACTAATATAGACTGCAGTCTATCATTGTCGACTTATTCTTATAGCCAAGCTTTAACTACTTCCGTACAAAAAAATATCAATTATAATGTCCATTTGCCCTGTGCTGTGTCCGTGCCTGTGATTCTGGATATGTTTGTGAACTGTCAAAAGTGCCAAGCAGGTCATGGTATGTGGTCCTTTGGCAATCTGGAGATTTTGCAGATCGCCGTTAACCTCCCTTTGCCCCGGAGTTTATTATTTAATGGCCTTTTACGACCTCCAGATCCTTGGTGTTTGTGGGAGGTAGCGGGTTTGAGGGTGTTTATTTATTTATTTGATCGATTATTATTTAAAAAAAAATGGCAGAATTATTCTTAATATAAATTTTGGAAAAAGGCCTACATATACAACACCTTGGGTGAATTTCGCTGTCCAAGGGAGGTTCGCGACTCCTGCTGTTTTCGTCTTTTGTTTTATTGTGGGGTTTTTCCTTTATGGCGGCCTTCTCTTGAAGTCAACTGGGGATTTCCCGCAGAATCTCATTAGCCCCCCCCCCCCTTGGGTTTGCCATTTTTAAAATTATATTTTATGACTTTCCCAGCAGGCTAGTGAGTAATTATCCTCCGCAGTCTTTTGTGGCAAGGCAGGAGGCGGGGGGGGGGGACTCACCCTTTCCGTGCCCCAGCGCTACATCCCGATGAAAATGATTACAAAACCACTAGAAAGAATCAATCAATATAATTTTATGGAAAAGGCATATATACAACATGCTCTTCGAGTGTTTGTGATGAGATGATACAAAACTGAGTTGCTGAGGCTATTAAGCAAGCACCATATAAATGCTAAAATGATTATAACATAGTATGAAATAGTGAATGCTTCGGAGATTATTGGCTCTGGCTCCTGGTAAGAGATCTACCCAACCCACAGGTCCGCAAAAACTGGTTGCTCTTACTCTGCAGGTTGAACCTAGGAATGGGGTGTTCAACCTCACGTTATTGTAATTAAAAGCCTGTGACAAAGGTGAATATATTGGACCTTCATTGTCTCAAGCTTACACATCTACAGGGTCTCCATTTGACTTTGTATTGTCTAAGAAGTCCACCCACACCTCCACTTCCACAAACTGCTGGGAGTTGCCTCGCTCTGCCTCACAGTCAGAATTCTCCTCCTGCTTCACGTTGCCTCCATCGATGTGAAGGCCCAATTTTGGAGTTGAATCTTCATCTTCACATTTTACCATCACTTCTTCGCTCTTCATCACTTCTTCACATTTCACCTTCACTTCTTCGCTCTTCACCATCACTTCTTCATATTTCACCTTCGCCTGTTCAAAATCCACCTTGATACATTTCATTGCGTCCAAGCTGGAATTAAATTCTGGTTCTTTTTTCAGCAGGGATGGGCTCATTGCAGCACTTCGACTTTCACAAGCCGATTTCAGACTCCGCTCCTTGGGGACCTTCTGATAACTGTGTGTCCTCTGGTGTCTATGAAGCTGTGGTGACTGTGCAAACGCCTTTCCGCACAGAGTGCACTTGAAGGGTTTCTCTTCTGTGTGCATTCTCTGGTGGTCGTGAAGAGTTGATGACCGTGCAAATGCGCTTCCACACAGAGTGCACTTGAAGGGTTTCTCTCCTGTGTGCCTTCTCTGGTGGTTGCGAAGAATTGATGATTGTGCAAATGCCTTCTCACACACAGTGCACTTGAAGGGTTTCTCTCCCGTGTGTGTTTTCTGGTGGCTCTGAAGACCTGATGACTGTGCAAATGCCTTCTCACACACAGTGCACTTGAAGGGTTTATCTCCTGTGTGTGTTCTCTGATGGATCTGAAGACCTGATGACCATGCAAATGCCTTCTCACACACAGTGCACTTGAAGGGTTTCTCTCCTGTGTGTGTTCTCTGGTGGCTCTGAAGAACTGATGGCTTAGCAAATGCCTTCTCACAGACAGTGCACTTGAAGGGGTTCTCTCCCATGTGTGTTCTCTGGTGTGTTTTAAGATGTGATGACTGTGCAAATGCCTTCTCACACACATTGCACTTGAAGGGGTTCTCTCCTGTGTGCGTTCTCTGGTGTTTATTAAGATCATATGACCGTGTAAACGCCTTGTCACACATAGTGCACCTGAAGGGTTTCTCTCCTGTGTGTGATCTCTGGTGTCTCTGAAGAACTGCTGACTTTGCAAATGCCTTCTCACAAACAATACACTTGAAGGGTTTCTCTCCTGTGTGTGTTCTCTGGTGGCTCCTAAGAATTGATGACTGTGCAAATGCCCTCTCACACACACTGCACTTGAAGGGTTTCTCTCCTGTGTGTGTCCTCTGGTGGCTCTGAAGAACTGATGGCTTGGCAAATGCCTTCTCACAGACAGTGCACTTGAAAAGTTTATTTTCTGTGTGTGTTCTCTGGTGTTTTTGAAGATTTGATGACTGTGCAAATGCCCTCTCAAACACACTGCACTTGAAGGGTTTCTCTCCTGTGTGTGTTCTCTGGTGCTGTGCCAAACTTCCAGTATGATCCGTGCTGTATGCACACTGGTCGCATTGTTTCTTTTTTTTACCGAGCTGCGCTGAGTGCCTTTGCTCCATCAGACCAATTCTGCAGAGGAAGCGTCAGAGGAAGCGTCAGCTGCAGTCAGAAAAACGTATCCACACCATCTACGTCAGTATCAAGACACAGAGGAATGCATATATACACAGTCACACATGACTTACACATCTATACTTATTCATATATTCATGATATAGTGAAAAGTATTCCCCAATTCATCACGCGGGCTGTTAAGGCACACAATGAGAGGGCCAATGGACATAAATATTCCTGGATGCCCTAGTATCTTCAAAATGAATGTTTACCCAAAACTCAAAGCACACAATTTCGGCTGTCTAGCTATGAAAGGAATATTTAAGAAAAATTCAGCTATAATAGCGAGGTGTGTTCAAAATAATACTATTTGTATTATGCAGAAATGCATAAATTAATGTTCAATCGAAACTTCGAGGTGGAAGCCAGGCTCAGATTCGCTTGAATGCTCGGATGAACAAATCTAACTTCAGCTGCATATGTGCTGAGATATTTTCCTGATTGTTTCCATCCTTACAAAAAGTCCCAGAGGAAAATTAAAATAAACTAGTGTTTTGATTTAACCTCCATGTTCAATCGTTAATATACTTTACTGCAAATACAAACTTTATATTGTCACACACTGGCATGGTAAAAAGGTGGTTGTGTGTCCAGAACCATGCCTGGCCACCTTCATCTGCTCATTATTAATGCTTTCTCACTTCACCATGTAATTAATTTAAGATCAATCAACATAGCAGAGGCCCACAATAAGTTCAGCTTTCACTTACACTATGTAACACGATTTTTTTTGTCCCTGGATGGCTAGTGTTATTTTTTTATTGGTCATGCCCACAAACTTTCCTTTTGTAACCAGGACTTTACGTGAAGGAATGACACAAATGCACACGTTTTCTCATTAAAAATAGGTAAATTTCAAAATATCACTGTCCTGCTCACAAAAGCAAAGGTTGTGGGGAATAAGAGCCATTTTCTGTACTTTTGAGGCATAAGCAATTAGAAAATAACACTTACTACGCAGGGACATTTATTTTTGTTACACAGTGTTATCAATCATGTTTGCTGTCGGCGATAATCAAACTAATTGTTGAGTTCATAATGCAGTGAAATAACTGCGAGATAAACTGTTAATTACATACATTTCACATGGATCATTAACATATTATATAAACGAAACATCCACCATTCATGACGAATTGCAAGTAACCTTATCCCAGTGCTAATGCCATGATAGATGGAATTTAAGGCCATGTAAGTGTGGATTCCTTGTCAGCAGGTAATGGGAATGATCCAGGTGTCAAGGGATGACTGACAGAAGAACCAGCTGTGCTCCCCACTGTCTTGCTGGGTTTGAGGAACCCAGCGTTCCACCTATTATTCATGTGGGCGTCGCTCTTCCGACCTCATTGTTATTGCAGAGCAAACATCTCTTATCTGCCATGAAGCATACCTCACGGACCTCCTCCACAGAGGCCGATCTTCACTCCTAGCACCAGTCATCAGCAGGTCCAATCACATCCTCCAATCTCTTCTCTAGCCAATGCCATGCCTGATCAGCCCCTAATATCTGGACAAAAAGCTGCTTGAGCATGCAGTGTCTGGGAATGTGGGATTCATGACCGAACTAATGCAGCCTCGCCTGCCAAAGAAACTCAAGATTATATTCTATATTGATATCTTAAGGATCTGTAAGCTTCTAATAGAATATAGTTTGGTTGAATAGAGGATGAATCATAGGCAGGCCAGCCTTCATTGTATAAGCCAGCACAGATTGTCATTTAAATAAGATCATATTCTGAATACACAGAGTAAAAGAATCACAGCTTTGTTCGTTAGTTTCTAAAAACGCTTGTCCTGGTGAGGGTCGCGGTGGCAGCATACTGAGAAGGGCGGTCCAGGTCTCCCTTTCCCCGGCGACAGACTCTAGCTCATCCTGGGGAATTCCCCAGCGTTCCCAGGCCAGCAGAGCGACATAGTCCCGCCAGCGTGTTCTGGGCCAGCCTTGGGGTCATTGCCCAGTGGGACGTGTCTGGTAGAGTTCCAGAGGGAGTCTATTGGGGGGCATCCTTACATATATTCTATATTGATATCACCCCTAGAGCCAGGCCCTGTGTTCACCAACAAGCGCCTCGTGGCCGCGTGACCCACGTAACTCAGTCGGGCCAGCTCGAAATGGCTACGTGGTGCCATCCTGTGCGTCGAACATCCGCAGGATGAAAGGTGAGAGGCGGGTGCGATGCCAGTATGGCAGGGAGAGGGATGGTCTCAGATGGACTAGACCTTGGCGATGGACACTCACAGCTTTGTATGGAGCAAAAGTCCAGGCACCTTCCACAAGTGTTACACAGTCTAATGAAAGAATGCTGCTCGACTAATTTGAAGTGAGACTTTGGCTGCCAAATCAGAGCTGGTCGTGAACACATTAACCAGGTATGGAAGCTCCTCCACCACTTGTAGAACTGCCTGATTATTCATGGGGAGTTGAGCAGGTGTAGTGTTGCATGATATGACATTCCCAGGCAGGTCATTTATTTTTGTGGAACATTTGCAAGGCCCCATTTCATGATGGAATTATCAAGGCACAGAACAAGATTCCCTAATTCCATCTCACTGAGTAGCCATTACCAAATCATCAGCAGATGTAACATGGTTGACCAGCAGGGAACGATCCTTTAACTATAACCAGGCATCGATTAGCATATCACTGTAACCATAACGAATGCAATGGTTTTTACATGACGATTTGGAGCTTCTCAAAATACATAGTTATTGAAGATGCTATGTAATGTAATGCATGGGGGCAGAGTGAATTTCTGTCACAAGCCAAGTTGAACAGGAAATGGCTCCGACTCCTGGTCACACAGCTTTAGACTGTCCTGCCCAAAATCATACAAATCCTCAAATAATGTGAACAGAGGCATAGATTTGAAAAAAATAACAACCCAAAGCCCCAACCATCTTTATGGTACAATAGTGCTTAATTAAATTAAGAATGCAGAGATCTAGTTTCTGTTGAAAATCCATAAGCCTCTGCTGTAGTCAATAGACGTAAAATACAGCAGGCCCTTGCATTTCGCGGAGGTTACGTTCTTGAAAATTGCTGCGCGAAAGCTAAAAGCGCGATATTCAATACTTAAGCCTTACCTAAGTAATGGCGTTAAGTAAACGTCAACGAAATTTTACATCACAATTGAATTAAGTACTGTACTGTATTCCAAATAAACTACACAATTGAAATAAAGAAACCATGTACAAAAAATATTCCAAGACAAAAAATAGTATAAATCTATAAAGATACAGCAGACTTTGCGCTTGTGTAGATTTTTTTTGCGAACCAAATTGCGCCAACACACCCCAAACTTTCCACACACACTCACGGGTGAGTTAGTGTGTCTTTCGCACTATTTTTAGCATATCTTCTCACCTTCAATACCTGTACCACGTGCACACTCCAAACCCCCCCCCCCACTCCTCACCTCCCGCCCTCGCTTTCTCTTGCTATGTGTTATGGCACGGGACATTCTCACAACTTCCCGTTTGCCACACATGCAAACACATTTTGACATTTCACCTACTACAATTCCACGCACTCACCATAACATGTGTCTCAACTGCACTGCTATATATGTTCTCACAGTTCTACTTGCATGTCTGACAATACCGAAAAAAACAAAGATTAATACTAGACAGGCTCACCAGCATTGCAAAAATGTCATCAACACCAAGATGCAAATCCTGCAAGGTGATGATGGCTACCATTTCCTACTCCGCCAAACTGACCCAACAACAGGCTTGCCAAAACAAATTAAAATTTCCGCCATGGACGTCTTTGCCTTCAGGATCATGGTACGAAACTGCAGCTTCAATCTCTCCTTGAGATGCAAAGGGCTCTTCCACTAATTTGCTGTCGACATGTATGCCAAAATGTAAGCCTCATTCAATTAAAACCACCAGATGGCAAAACATCCGACAAGTCTTATTGCTGTGGCAAGACATGCCCGTAAGGAAAACTCTTATGTTCACAGTTTCAAGTGTGCCACGGAGAAGATGACTTCAGAATACAATGTTGTCATTCATGCCGACTAAATTCCACATGTTCTTAGTTCTTTCGGTAAAGTCACGTGACTTTACCGAAAGAACTAAGAATATGAATTACTGCAGTCACGAAAGCTTTAAATCTAAATTCCACATGGTCAACATGAGTGCCGCTTAAATGCACTCACAACATCTGAAGTCGCTGTCATTCTGACTGCTGAACAACATGTTACTCGAAGCATCGCCTTGCAACTGAGGAACAATACCCGACACAAAAATTAAACACACCAATCCTATGATGCTGTTTAATGTCTACTGATTTTCTGGAAAGGTGATGATGGCTATAATTTCCTACTTCGCCAAAGTGACCCAGCAACAAGTTGCCAACATAAAATATTTCCGCCATGGACTTCTTTGCCTTCAGGATCATGGTGTAAAACGGCAGCTTAAATCTCTTAGTGAGATGCAAAAAGCTCTTCCACCAATTTGCTGTCAACATGTATGCCAAAATTGAAGCTTCATTCGATTAAACCTATCATATGGAAAAACATCCAACATTGTCTATCCTAAAGATATCCAAGGGCAACGGATTTAAAAGCTGCCCTAATTATGAAACAAACAAGCCATGCAATTGTATAACACAACCGAAAACCCGAAACATTTACCTACTTCTTCTTTGGTTCTTTCGGTAAAGTCACGTAGAATGAGAAAATTTATAGACTGTCTGGTAGGACAGCACTCCAGCGCTGTCCTACCAGACAGTCTCGTCCCTTCACCTGATGAAGGCCGCTTGTGTTGTGGCCGAAACGTCGTGAGAATATTATTGTGTTATTTTATTTTATCAATTTATTATTTTATTCTCATTCTACGTGACTTTACCGAAAGAACCAAAGAAAATGAATCATTGCAGTCACGAAAGCTTTAAATCGAAATTTACCGACTTCATTGTCAGAAATCAATAATTATAACAAAGCCAGCAT